TATATGAATATTTTTTTTTACGAAATATATTTTCTATGATGAATTTTTTTGTTTATCATTAAATATGTATGCATCTGTGACTATTTTTTTAGATCTATCACAATTGTGATAAGTTATAGTGATTATTTTAAAATTCATCACAAATTTCTGTCACTAAAAATCATTTTTCTTGTAGTGTTGGCCTGCTTCGTTGAAGCTGCAACCTGTTCGGCCCCAAAATCTGCCTGACCAACCAGTGGAGGCTTGGAATGAACGAGAACTCCCTTTCGTGAGCTCAAATCCAGTACTGTCGAGTTTACTGCCGCCGGAATTGGCTAGAATCCCCGGCCAAACATGCAAAGGCGCGCAGGTGCAACGCCATGGAAGCCGTGACAAACGGCGTCACGAAGTCAGCTAACGGAGTGTGACAGCATTAACGGTGTTAACGGAAGTTAGTTTTCCGTCCAATTGGGACCTTATCTGAGAATTTTGTGGAGTTTGAGACCTTAATTGAGTGCAATCGAAGTTTAGGTCCAACATTGCGAATTTTGTGTAAGTTTGGGTCCTTGTGTCATATTTATGCCTAATAAATTTGGTTCAAGTTCCTTTTTAATAATAGAACTAATACATTATCAAACTTGAAGGGCACATGATTATGATTTATGAATGCCATCTAGACTCTTTTGTCTTTTCTTAGTTTTTGATTCGATTATGAGGTGATTGTAGCCATTTCACTAAGTTATTTCACTGTGATTTAGTTTTAATGAGTTGAATCAAACTTGAAAGTAGACCTTCCTTTGTGTTTTCCCCTTTTTTTTTACCTTTGTCTATCAATTGATAAAGACCATTTTTTAGGTTTATGTCTGGAAGTGTGATTTTTCCTTTATTTTTTTTTAATATCAGTTCCATTTCCTTTTTTTTTTTTAAGTTGTTGAAGAAGGTTTTATCAGTTGAAAACATATCCAATAATCTTTTGTTGATGGTGATAGCACAAAAGAAGTTGAGTTCAAGTAGTTTTTGTGATAGATGGTGAGATAAGCTTTGTGGATGGTTGTTGTTGGTCTTCCTGTCTAAATTGTTCATTAAAGAACTATGTTAGTTTACGGTTTATAGATGGAGTGGGAAACGGTGGTTGTTTGTCTTTTGTGGTCGCTGCTATGCTTTCTGTAGGGTTGATTATTGACTTGTGAAATTCTGTTTTTTAATTCCTTTAAAAGCTCAATGATAACTCAATATCAAAGGTTGGTTTCTTCTCATTTTCCTAAATATTTTCTACTGCTGGAGTCTTGATGTTGGTTTTTGAGCCTTAGTGAATGTGGGAGTTACAGATGCGTGGATTTTTCATGTCCAGATACATTGATTTCTTTGTGTCTGGATTCTTCAGAATTGTTTTTATTTATTTTTTATTTTTTATTTTTTATTTTTCAGGTCTAGATACATAGATTTAAGGTCCAGATTTTGGGATGGGGAATGGAGGAGAAACAGTGGAGGTGGTGGAAGAGAAACTTTGGGGATAAAAGGGTAAGCATAATACCTTTTGTTTCTACCACTGCAGTTATTGCTATGGATAAAAGGCACGCTTGGGATATTTGAAAAAAAAAAGAATCAATAGATCTCAGATGGATGTTTTTTTCTCTTTGTTTTTGTCTAAGCATGTGTGCTGAAGTTCGTATAAAACATTTTTATCTACTCATACCTTTTATATGATTAAACAAACTCATTTCAGAAATGAAAAATTAAGCTACTAAAATCAACTCGAAGAAGAGTTGTAGATAAGTACATCTCGTGTAAGAAATTTAGTTTTTAATATCACATTTCTGCTGTTTATGCTTGACATGAACATCATAATTGGACTGCTTGGTACCAATTTCTAACAGCAAGCTTTTGTCATCTTTTCTGTATGTTTTAGCTTTGGTATTACTTTATTTCCAATTTCTCTCTTTTTTTCTCTAGGTCCTTAATCGCTCACTGTGTTTGTGAAATACAAAAACTGTGCCAGTAGCAACTTTCTGTCATTTTCTACTCTTTTCCAGCACTGTCTTCATCACAACTCAGAATGGCTATGAAACAGAAGTTGTCATTTCACTGTTTTTTATCTCTCATCTACAGAGGATAGAAGAGGGTTCAAAGCTAGCATAAGGTAGCATCTTCTTCTTATTTTCTTCTTTTTAGTTACTTCAATAGTTTCATACTTGACATGTTAACTTGCAGATTTTTTCCTTTTTTATGCTTTCCGGCAACTTATCATCCATAGCTAGGCAAATAAATTGATGATGGGTGGGTTCTTCGATATTACATTGATTGAGGGCTTTACTTTAATTATTTGTTATAGAGAATAAAGACCATTTCATGACTTGGGTCTACATCCTTCTATGGTTTTATTATCATCTTGGTTATCAAAAAGAGTTCACAATTTAAGCTGTGGCTTTCATGTAATTTAGGGCAACCCTTTTCTTTTTAGATTTGTAGTTATACGGTTTTTATGTTTTCCTTCCAGTTTATATGAACTAAACTGTCAAATTTATTGATTTGGAAATTTAATATCCAAATCCATTTCTTCTCACTTAATTTATCATCTTGGGGGTAATCATCCACTTTGATCAACATTTTTGGATTATTAAATATCGTAACTATACTGATTCATGTACTGTATGAGATTAATTATCAGTCTTCATATCGTATCATCCCTTGAACTTGATGGTAGTTTTATTTCTGGTGGGGGTGATCGTGACATTGATCACTTGACACCCTTTTTTATGTTAGAATCTAATTTTTTCTTCAATGTGTAAATGGTGATGCATCAATCAAACTCTTGATCTATTGGTACAACTCTTGAGCTTCTTTATTTAAAAGTATCTCATTCTTTATCTTTCATTTTCCTGTCTGGGTGGCTTAGATTTTATGGATAGTTCAGATTTTGTAGGGAGGTAATTGTCAATCAAGGGGAGATAAAGCTATGAAAAGAAAACAAGAGACAAGAGTAAACCTTTGTTTGCTAAAACTTAGTTGCTATTTAACTTAATTTTTATTTTCTTCTATGAATATTCGAATTTTAGACTGATTTTTAGTTTTTTGTTTTCTATTTTCTATTTGCCGTTCATGTGCTCTCAGTTGTCTTTATTTACTTAGTCTAGACTGCCATTGAGAAGGAAATAGGTGGAAGAGTTTAGTGATGGCAAGGAGTGTTCTAACATCTGACTTCAGGGTGAGAAAGAGATGGTGAGAGAGACTTGGTAACCATAATACCTTCTAATTCTTCTTTCCCATTCTTTCCTCAATTCTATTCTCCAATCTTTTTTGTCACCTTTGATGTGAGATTGCAGGAGTTTTGGACAATGGCTGGAGTCCTTGGTGTAATTAACAGTATTTTATAATGAAGGTAGTTTTGGCTGTGCCTTTCTCCTTTTTTTCTTCCTTGGATGAGTGTGTTTTAGGGCTGACAAGGGGTCAAGGCAGCAGTGATGGATGAAAAGGGGGTAAAAAATTTGATAAATAAAATAAAACAAGTCATTTGGGTGTTATATGATGGCAGGGACTTATCTGAGCTTTATTTCCATGTGCAGGGTCTTTATGTCCTTAACTGATATTGATTCTTAAACTACACATTATAAATTTCTATGACTTGAAATGGTATTCGTTTATTCTTTTCTGTTATGTATGATAAAATTTACAAATTAAAGTGAACAACAAAAATTTTTGTGAAGCCAATTATATTAGATCATGATAGCTTAAATTGTTTTCTGTTCTACTCTAAATTATTGTTCTTTATTTTATTTTTACTGAAAACTCCATCTTTGGTAGCTTTTATTTATTCACTTGGCAGGATTCACTAGGTGATAACAGCATAGAACTGTTATGATAGGTGAGTAGCATTTTCTGTTTGTTCATCACTGTCTCGATACATGGTAGTTTAGACTACCTTCCATTGGATTTCTCTTATGTTGTCCTTAAATCTTTCACCTTATTATTTCTTAAAAGTATAATTTCTGCTTCTTTTGGTTGCCCCTTGACAACATATCCTGTGCATGCTGACTTCTTCACTGGGTTAGAAATATGCTTCATGGGATACTTATAAAGCATTTCTCATCTTTTTCTTGCATTCTATAGGTGGTGCAATTGTGGTATGAAATGTTTATTTTATTTCCAGCTCCTTCTCTGCAACTTTATTTCTTTAGTTTTGTTCATAGACATTAATTTTTTACTGTTATTTTTTTTTTCTCATATGTTTCTTTAACCAGCCTGTATTAGTTTAGCTGATATCAATGCTGAGGAAATGCTTAACACTTTAAAGTATGCAAACCGTGCCTGCAATATCCAAAACAAACCTGTTGTAAGTAGTTATTAACAACCCCTCTCCCATTTTTCTTTTTCTATTTTACAGTTACATGTAGGCAATATTTTGCCATTTCCAAGAGTTAATTCTCCGTGTTTATAGGTTAACCGCGATCCTATTACCAATGAGATGCAATCCTATTGCCAATGAGATGCTATAGATGTGTCAACAGCTAGAGTATTTGCTGGGAGAACTTTGTGCCTTGGGGAGGGGGGGTCCGATCAAGTGCAGGTATCCAACTTCTTTACACTATCAAATAAACTTAATATTTCCTTTAGAATTTTATTGTTATTTATTATTTATGTGTTTGTTTATTTATTTATTATTATTATTTTGCATTCATTACTTAACATTCAGAAGCTTTTTCTGTTGCTTTTCTTTTGATAAGTCTTGACTCTTGAGGTTTTTAGGGGACTAATTTATATCAGATTTATAAGTTTCTAAGGAAGGTAATTGTGTAGGTCCTCAAGGAAAAATGGGACTCCTAATGGTCATGAAAAGCAAGATAGATGTGTTTGAATGGGAGTCCTAATGTAAGCTAAATAATCACATTAAAATATTAAATAAAAGTTTCTAAAAGTTAATTGTGAAGGTCCTAAAGGAAAAAAGGGACTCGTAATGTACTTTAACTGTTATTGCTCGATTCTTTATATGGCCTTTTAGAGTTTGTTAACCATGTAGTGATTCAAAGTTTTCATTTCAATTCTTGGTGTTGCATTTGGTGATCTGAGAAAGAGTTCATTGTCTTTTTGCATAAGCTCTGTCTTTCACCTATGCCAGAAATGGCTTCCTGTCTTCGTAAGTTCTGTTCTCCATTTTTCCTTTTTGTCAAATTAAGGGTTTTCATAACTGTTTTAGTTCTAGCCCTTTTTTCCTTCGTCAATTTTTTTCTCATTTTTCAGAGGGTTGGATCCTGAGAAATTGAGCTCTTTTCATCTTTCTTCTAACTCAATTTAAGCTTTGTATTGCTTCTGTGATTTTATTGCTTAATTCTTGATTCTTGATAGTCTATTTAAGCCTTTGTTGTTAACCGTTAATTACAGTTAGCCTAGATTGCATATCTTTATTGTTAATTGCAGCCTTTGCTTCCCTCTTTTTTTTTTTCATCCACAATTTCAAATGTCTACGCCATTCATATGATAGGATTGTATTAGAAAGATATTCCTTTCATTCTTTGCATTGATTTGATTAAATTAACAAATTGGGCAGCATTGGAAAGCAATTGGCTTACTTGTAAAAAATCCCCTTTCGTGGCTTAGGAGGGATTTTGGATTTGGAACTTGGAAGGTCATTATGGGGAAGAAATTACATCTGACCAAACATGCATGATTGGTAACCTATGTTCATTACGCAACTAAATATTCATTCTTTGCCATTTCTAAACATTAGAGGAGCTGATTCTAGTGGTTAATCCTCTTGAAAGCAAACAGTTCATTGAGGTGCTATTTTGTAAAATCAACCAAAAAATAAAATAGCCCAGTCCATTAAACTCCCAAAAAGCCTTTGAACAGTACCAATTTAACTGATTTTGCAATATTTCTGGATGAAAATGAATAGATTTTTTATACCATGTTAAGTTTTGTTTTAAGGAAGAGAGGAAAGACTAGATTAGGAGAGGAGGAGAGAACTTTGAACATGAACATGACATAGAACATAAACATGGAACTATGGAAGGGTGCAGACATTCACCCAACCGGAGAGAGAAACCATGCTTGCTCACACTCAATTTTCATTCAATTTCTTCCTTCCTTTTTATAGAGGAAGGCTACACAGGCTACACATAAAACAATAATATTTTCCTACCTAATAAATAACTTTTAGCTACCCAAAACATTGACTAAACTGTTGAACTTTGCTGCCATTTCTTGCAGCCCATGTGCAGCTCCATGCTGCTCTCACTTTACTGCAACTGTGCAGTCATGTAGGAGCATCATTTAACAGCTCTCATTTCATTGCATTTTCAGCTTCATGCCGTGAATCCAACAATTCCTATGCATGGTAGATAATAAAATTGTCTGAAATGGGTACTTATTAACTCTGGCTTTTTTACTTGCATCAAAATTTTGTTTTTATATCTAATAAACCAATCTTTTTATCAATTGCAGAATCCAAATGTTGTTATGTATTCTCTTAGGGTTTGGTTTTTCATTTATTTCTCAATTTTTTCTTTTGTCCTGAATTGCAAATGATAGTCTTTATGATGATAAGGATTACTTCTTTATTGTTAGTTTAATTGTGTCTCTAAAAGATCACAATGATTATTTGGAAGAAGTGCAGGAGACAATGGCGAGAGGGAATTCAGTGACTTGCCTTAGTGAAGCTCCTCGAATCAACTCCTGCAGGTAAAAAAATTCTTCTTTCCCTTTTATTTTGATTTCTCCTTCTGTCATTGACTTAGCTTTTTATGAAAGAAGCTCTACTTGTTTCATAATCCCGACTGATGCTTTCACTGTGTTGGACTTGCTCTGGCCTACCTCAGGATGGAGGGCATTGATCCTACTCGCTCTTTTGTTAAGGATGTCAAGCATTTGGGTATTCAGGTGTGCTACATTTATCCAATCTGTTCTTTTTGTTCATATCCTGGATGATTTCTTCAATTTCTAGGCATTCAATTTGAAGTTGTTTCATTACCTTCACTTGAATTTAGTGATTAACGCTACTTTTCATTTTTTAGTTTTAAACAAAATTTTGCAATGTAATCAACTGGATTGTAAGGTTAGATCTCTGATGGATTAATGTTTTGAGTGGGTGATTATTTTAGGTTGGGGCTGCTGTTGTTACTCCAAATGATGGAATATGAGCAGTTGATAGATTCTTTTCATCATGTGAACAGGCATGTAATTTCTCAATGTTGCAACAGAACTGGGTTGTTTTCTTTGTTTCATTCAATGGCTGTTAAACTGTTGAATCGAATACAGGTTAAAGAATTGAATTCTCAAGGACATAGGGTTATTTTGGTGACAGGTGCCATCAACCTCTCCAAAGGCTTAGATGAAAAAAAATTAGGGGCAGTAGTTTTTTGTTAAATTCCCCTTCTTTTTTTTTTCCTTCTTCTTCCTCTTTAATTTACTTCAATTAGCTTGCTTCAATATGAATTTGGGACTACCCACCAAAAAACGAAGAGGAAGAAAATAAAATAAAATAATATACGGAAGATAAGGGAACTAGACTGATTTTTATACCATAGGGATATGACCTACATATAGATCTCATGTTGGGGACAATTTTGATTCATGTTCATCCATGTCCTTCAGCTTTGCTGATCTTCAAAAACCATAACTAGAACTTGATGGGAAGGCGAATGCAGGTCCTGGGCAAGGTAGTCTCATGGCCCTGTATGATTCTTTGGTCAGGTGGTTATGTATTCTCTATTTCATTTTTGCATCAGAGTCCATTTTTTTATGGCAAAGGACTTTTGGCAATACTTTTAGTCTTCTCTC